TGCCCAGCCGAGATTGCCACTCCGTGGTTTCTGTCATTACTTATGGGATGATCCCTATTTGTGTTGGATTTGTGGTTATAGTGTGATCCGAAGCTATGTTATGGAGGCAGACATGCATGAGATCCTCTCCTACTATCAGCGAGGCCCACGGGAGGCCATCATGGATGAAATGGTATGGCGAGGAAGTTGCTTCAGTATGGCTTATATTGGCCTACATTCTTCAAGGCTTCCGAGACCTTCACATGCAAGTGCGACTGATGTTAGCGCTCTAGTAACATCTATTCTTGGAATGAGACACACCATAATATATTTATCATTTTTGAATTTTTTTATTTTTGGGGCATTGATTTCATGAGACCATTCCCTCCTTCATTTGGTAGCGAATACATTCTAGTTGATGTTGACTATGTTTTGAGGTGTGTAGAACCACAGGCTTTGCCTACAAATGATGCTATACGTGTTTGCCAATTTTTGAAATAAATCTCCTCTCTTTTTGGCAAACCTAGAGCGATCATAAGTGATAGAGAAAGTTATTTCTAGGGTCAATTTTGTAAGCTCCTATCTTGTTATGGTGCGGCTCAAAAGGTCTCCATGGCTTACCACCCTCATATGAGTGGTCAAGCTGAGCTGAAAAACTAGGAGTTGAAGTTGATCGTTGAAAAGATAGTAGATCCATCCCTCAAGGACTATCTACCATGTTAGATGTTATATGGTCCTATCGCACAGCTTATAAGACGTCAATTGGCATTTCTTCACACAGACTCGTCTATGGAGAAGCTTTACATCTTCCAATTGAGCTAGAGCGCACGACTTTCTAGGCCATTAAAATGCTTAACCTCGATTTGAATAATGTATGAAATGAAAGAAATTTGCAGGTTCTGGAGCTCGAGAAATGGAGGTACCACGCTTATGAGAACACACGACTATATAATGACTGAACGAAACATCTTTACGACACTCGTTTGAATAAGATAAAGGAATTCCAACCTGACGATTGAGCTCTTCTCTATAACTCTCGCCTCTGGCTGTTTCTTGGGATACTGAGATCACGGTGGTTAAGACCCTTCACGGTCACGAAAGTCTTCTCTTATGGCGTGGTTGAGATCTCTCATCAACATAGTCTCATTTTCAAGGTCAGCGGGCATTACCTCAAGCTCTACTCAATGGAGAAGTGATCACAAATGAGGATCTGATGTACCTCAAGGATCCATAGTTCTCTCCACCAGTTGCATCCAACAAAAAACATAAAAGAAGCGCTTGTTGGGAGGCAACCCTACATCAATTTATGTCTTCTTTCCATTTCCCTTTGTTTTTGTTTTTACTCTTTGAGTCGTATGTGTGTTCATTGAGTCTTGAGTTAGTTTCGTGCTCTAAAATGACGTGTTTTTTCCTCAAGTAGTGTTGGATTCGAGTCTAGGTCATGGATGAGTAAAAAAAGTTGCACAAAATTGGCAAACAGGGTGCCTGTCCAAAGTCATGGATTGAGGCCTGAGTAGTGATGGCAATGGGGCGGGGCAGGGCGGGTACCTCAATTCCCATACCCGCTCCACGCTACTGCGGGTAGGGGCAAGTAAAACCCAGGTACAAGGCGAGGCGGGTCGACCCACTCTTACATGTTATTTGAAAAAAATAGACGCAAATTTTACTTTTTATAATAAAATGAATGTGAAAACACTTTATGAATGAAAAATACTGATAATAAAATGGGTAAATGAGTCTAACAAGTTGAAAGATCGACTCAAACTAGTTGAAGAAATGTCATAATAGGAGAAATATGTATAGATAATGTAAGAAATTGAGATAGAATGGGCTAAGAACGGGACGCAGTGGGGTAGGGTGGGTCGAAAGTAATTACCCATGCCTCGACCCATGCTACTGCGGGTCGGGTAATACCCGCCCCATCGTGGGTCAGGTCAGGTAATACCCGTGGTGCTGGTTCAAATTGCCATCACTAGGCCTGAGAAGCACAATCGTGATTTTTAAGCCTCATGCATGTGATTCTTGTCTTCAAACACATACTGTTTCATGGGCTTATCACGCAAAATCACGACCATGATTTTGTGCCTCAAGCCTATGATTTTTTATTGACATGTATGATCAACCTCCATTGGAAATCACGACCATGTTCCTATTTGCATGATGATTGGCTTAATCTTTGCATACATGAGATCGAATCGTGACATCACTAATTAGGAAGATGGAGGGTTAGGTTTAGCCCATCGCTAAATTGACTACCCTCATTATAATATCCCTTAGCTAGACAACCCTCATTGAGTCTTAATCGTTTCTTCATTAATATACCATCTTGTTTAAAGCAATCTTTATTCTTTCAAGATTACATTTGTTTGAATCCTTTTCAAGGTCCGACAGAATTGGTTCTTACACGATTTTCTGCTTCATCATGAACTAAGTTTTGGAAGAAATCTTTGTAAAATGTGGTTTTGTGCTCTTTTGATCTCTTGCAAAAGAAATAACGAAATCAAAAATAGAAAAAGGAAAGAAAATTGGGAGAGCATCCACAAAGTTTGAAAATTTTCCTCGTATACTCTTGTGCTTAAACTGTGTCAAAGCTAGAAAAGCAAAGAAAATCAGAGTTGTATGTGTTATGGGTTGGAATTTGTGGAACCTTGAGTAGTGTATATTTTTTAGCACCATAAAGACCTTTTACCCATGTCCCACCCTAACCAAGTTACAACTCAATTAAAATTCCTACTGCCAAGTTTGTGGTAACCAATTTATGGAGATTTGATTGCATTGCAAAGTGTTTAGAATCTAGCTTCATCTCATAGAAACAATAGGATCGAGAGATATAACATGCACATCTTTTGTACAAACTGTAGTCTTGAAAACTAGTTTAGTGTTTTGTGATTCATTTTCATATTCTAAATTTGGTTGAGGATCTATGTTTCTCAACATCTTATTTTTTGTAAATTACTCTATGTGTTTCGATAGCTGGGGGTTTTGGTTGATTAATCGTGTTTGGGGACAGTTTTATAAGTCTGATGAGGGGTGTTCGCTGGTATGAACTTGCTGTGTTTGAATGTCATCTGTAGTGGTTGCTAGTGTCTCTTGTGCTTCTTCACACACTGATATTAATGAGCACCTTTGATTCACTGATTTTGTATGTCCCTATAACTTCATCCAAAATTGGTATTTAAATAGACGCCTTTGAAAAATCTTGTGGTTTACTCGGTTTGCTTGGGGACAAGCAAATAGTTAATTGTGGGGGAATTTGTTACCTACATAGTTATATTGAGATTTCCCTTTATATCTTGATCATTTTTTGGTCATTTGGGTTGGAACACTCTCGTATAAGCCGATTTTACGCTAGGTTTTATGCTTGTGTCATATTTCAAGTCATAGTACATGGATGATACTTAGGAATTGATTTCAAGATGTTTGGAGGTCAAAACCCGAATTTAGGAGGACCATACTATAAATCATGACCAACAGTTCATAAATCATGGTCGTGATTCCCCCTTATAGACCGTGAGATGTACTTGAAAATCATAATTAGCATAAGGAAAATCACGATCATGCAACATGGAGATAAGCCTGTGAAACGTTCTATGTGTGAAGATAAGAATCATGGGCAGGCATATGAAATTCATGACCGTGTTTTCCCCTGAAGACCTTAAATAAACGACATGTTTTGGAGAATCACGAGGAGGAAGACAAGAATCATGGTCGTGATTCTTCCACTGACAAGTACAAAAGGGTATGCGAGTTTCTGAAAGGGATCTGAGTGTTTGTAGTAGCAAACAAAAGAGGGAGACCGCTAAAGAGAGAAAGCAACATGGAGACATTTTTTAAGCCATTGGAGCTCAGGAATCAAGTTTAGGAGTGGAGATTTCTTTCAAATTCTCTTATTAATTTCTTTTTTTGTCTATGGAGTAGACTCCCTTCTCACTCTGGTATGAGGTACCCTTGTATTGATTGTTGAATTGATAATTGATTGATACTCTAATGAGTCTGACTCATAGTTTGTATCATATTGATGCATTATACAGTGAATCTTTTGAATTTTGATCACGTCCCTTATGATTTCTACTTTAACTTAGGAGAGATAAAATATGAATAGGTTGATTAGAGCAACAACTGTTGGAAGTAGGGAATCAATTGCATGAGAGTAAATCGATTCACTGCGTTGTATTTGATTTCGATCCAATAGAGGGATCCAGAGTGCATTGCCTTGGTAGATTGTCTTAGCTGAGGATAAAATCCCTCTAAGCAGTCTGTTCAAGAGGATCTTAATTGCTTTAATTGAGATCCAATTCTTAATAAAGATTCTTATGAGCTCGAGAGAAACACACTAGGGAGTTAACGGTCACTAATCCGATAAGAGACTAGCTAGGAGGAATCACTACCTGAATGGCTTTTCTCCAATCCGATAAGGGCTCGAGGATTCGATATTTATTATTTTTGCTGTTATACTGCAGTTCTCTTCATTGGTTTCACTTGATCTGTGCTAAGAGTGTAGTTTATAGTAACCAACGAGACTTCTCGACTATCGAAGAATCTAATACCATATCAAGTAAATATTAATTTAAATAACTCGAATCGCTAGAAGAAATTCAATTTAGAGACTGTATATGATTTACTATAACTAGCTAGCTATAGATATCGTGGCAAATGTGTGAATAGTTTCACATACACATAAGAACACAAGTTAGAGGGGGGGAGAGGGTGACCCACAGGAAGATTTCTTGCAACTTTGGTTTTTCCTCAAAACTTCCCCTCCTCCTAATATAACTAACTAGTTACACAATCATGGGACCACCAAACCCCCATATAATCAAAGTTTTTATTAAGAAGAAAAGAAAAGAAAAAATGATAGTAGGAAAGAGGGAGGGAGATCGATCGATGAACAAATCCCTCTATGTGGCAAAATAACAAAGGGTATGGGACCAGAGTCATGCACTTGCTGTCATCCTCCCCGCCAAGCTAGCTAGCCAGTCCTCTCTCTCTCTCCTTCTCTCTCTATATATACACAATCTCAACACCAACCTTTCTTCTACCCAAATATTCTTTCTCCAAAAAGAAGACACACAAACCTCCCCCACCACAAAATACTTGCATCCGCCATCTCCCAATCCTTACACTTGCTCAAAATTTAACCTACAAAACTCCATCTCTCGTGACTCCACAGATAGATAGACAGCATGATAATGGGGCTTCGAGACATTGGTGCGAGTTTGCCACCTGGGTTCAGGTTCTACCCAAGCGACGAGGAGCTGGTTTGCCATTACCTCTACAAGAAGATCTGCAATGAGCAAGTCCTCAAGGGCACCCTCGTCGAAATCGACTTGCACACCTGCGAGCCATGGCAGCTCCCTGGTACGTTTTCCCTTGTCTCTTGTTCTTTGTCATGTTATGAAACAAGTGAGTGTTCAATTATGCTTGTTCATGAATATGGGTTTCTTACCATTAGGGTTCATTGATCTCTGTGGGTGAGGTTTTTCTTTTTTTCTTTTTCTTCCTGGGTTTCCTTTCTGCAGGTTACTCTCCTCTTGTTTTTAGAATTTCCCGTGGGTTTCATTTGTTTGTTTCCTGGATATATAATAGAAGAGAATAGATTGAGGGAGACAGAGAGAGGGCCAAAAATGAAAGTAAAGATGAAAAGAGAAAAAAAAAAATGAAGATGGAGATAAGGGGCTAGAGCCTAGAGGGTTGACGATTGCTTGCTAGCTTTTGCTTTTAATAGTTAGTTCTGTAGAGGGAAGAAGAGATAAGAAGAAGGGAGAAGATGGAGTGTCACAGAAAACACATGCAATAGTTGTTAAGGGGATACGTACGACACTGCCTGCCAACTTTTCTCTTGGCTAGCTTACCTTAATTCAGGAACTTACAAATCTATTTTCCGGCCCCCTGATGGGTAATTAAATCAAAATTAATTAATGTTTTTATTATTATCTTGGCTGGTTTCGTTTCACACTCTGGCTGGGTTGATCATTATTTATATAAAAAGTGATTGGAGATTAGTTGAACGTTAATTGTGTCATCATTCTTCCTTCCTTATTCGGGTAAGCTAAAAGAAGCAAGAAACCCTCCCCATGGAAAATTTGGAAAAAGCCATTCAAACTTTGTTTGCCTCCCCTCCCTTCTGGGTGTGTGTTTTGTTATTATTCGCCATAGGAAAGGGTTAATGAAAAACAAGTGTTTGGAAAGCTCACTTCACCACCACATCTAAGAATAAGATTGTGATCTTGAAACGGGGTAATAAGATGCAAACTCGCTCCTCTTTCCCCTATTTCGTTTAAAAAATTTATTTCGAGAATAATCAAGTTATTTTGCGTTTCCTCAAGCAGTCTTGATTTGTTTTTGAGATCATAGAAAGGTCACTTTCCTCCTTCAAACCCAAATCAGAAGAAACTAGACCACAAAAATGGAGTAGACAAGAAAGTTAAATTTTATGAGTGCTAAATTAACTAATGTTTCCTTAATCTTTCATCTTATTATAAATGAGAATATATTATATCTGATAGAGAGATATGACTGTTTTTATTATTATTTTCATTCACCTGGGCACCTAAAGAATGAAAAATAAAAAAATTGGAAGGACTTGAGGGTTTTTTTTTTTTTTAACGTTTGGAGACTGGAAGGACTTGGTTTGACTGAAACGACATCAACCCTTGCCTTGTGTCTCCTACTTTCTTGTTCAAGATTTCTATCTGTCCCATGATTAACTGATTAATGAATGAAAGGGTTTTACATATATAGACAGGAAGAATATAATTAATTGGCAAGAAAAATTAAACTAACATTTGTACCTTTGGGAACCAAAAGTCAAGAAGAATATAATTTTACACATACGAAACAAGAAAATGTTCGCAATTGTGTCATCTGGTGGAGGCTGGCTATTCCCTCTCCAATGAATTCCTACCACCTTTGTAAAACCCAAACAAAGAAATTATTAAAACAGAACATATAAAAGAGAAGAAAAAAAGAAGAATTCTAACATCTTATCCTCTGACAGACACTAACTGAGAATTTTTCCTTTTCCCGACAAGTTTTGATGAATATAAACCCAAGCCAATGATTTTCTGATCGACGATGCACATGAAGAAAGAACCGCGTTGCTCCCTCTACAAGGGAATGAATTGAATGATTATTATTACGGTCCAAATGGTGGAATTCTATTTGTCTTTATTATTATTTGTTCCTTGACAAAAATTGTTTGGAAATATACATATAATTATTAATTATAATCCCCACACAAATTAGTGCAGAGTACAGTGCTACTTGCAGTGAACAGTAGCCGAGTACAGTGGTGGTGAGTTAGCTAGCTGGCTGGCTGGCTGGCCGCCGCTGTCTTCATCATGACAGTGATTTTTCCCAGGGCATAACTAGGGTTATATACATGATAATCTATTTCTCCTCCCCTTTTTCATGTAGGGTTTTTTACCAATCTAATTTACGGCGATTATTCGATGAAAAATAATAATAATTACAGTGATGATTCAACGGAAAAAAAAAATAATTGGAGAGAAATATATTTCCCAAGGTTCAATTTTGTTACAATTCTTTTCTTTTCAGCATTTTTTCGAAAATTATTTAGTCCCAATGATAACTGAAGTGGCTAGAAAATGTTTTGAATTTTATTTTAGTTTTTAACCGCTCTTTGAAATGAAAACTAAGTTATGAGTTTATGTTTTAATTCCAATAACTCAAGAATGAGATTTTCTTTCTTCCTTCATGGTATTGGTTACGGCAGTCAATTATTGGGCGAATGCATGGGTGCCACGTGGTAACCTATCCACGACCTTTCGTGTAATCTTTCTTTGTGCTTTATTTTACCCTTTTTTTTCTATCAGTCAATCTCATTCAGCAAAAGCAGTAGATCCTTGCATTGCATGCAACCCTAGCTCGCTCCCATCTTTTTCTCCCACTTTTCGCTCTACATCTTCTCCTTCCTTTTCCTTCACTCTCGGTAGATTTTGTATTCCCTAATAACAATAAAATAAATTAAGGATATTATTTTAGCTATGTTCAAATTTGGAGGCTAACTCTTTGTGGTTAAACGAAGGTGCAATTAGACTTGTTATGTTTCTAATTAATGTAATTACGTCGATTTGTTATAGTTCTAATTTCAATTTTATTGTATAATAAGAAAGATCATTAGTTAAACCAATAATTAATATACTAGAGCGGAGGATATAGATTTTAACATTATTTTATATTGTAGAATACACTTTAAAGAAAGGTGTGGTAGGTTTCGATGGTTTGTACAACATAATATAATTATCAAAACTTCAAAATTAATTAATATCGTTGGTTTTAGATAAAGGAGCGAAGTGGCATCCAATGAAAACAAAGGTTGTAGTGAGGCCAAAGAAATTATATTGCAAGTTTATACTCGTACTCATAAATAGTTAAAGGATAACATCATTTATTTACCAATCAAATCATTAACAAAAATGTCGATGATAAAATAATTTTCTTCCTTTCAACTTAAAAGGTCTTTCTTCTTCTAACTTCAAGGAATTTTCATAGTTTCGGTCTATTATATTTTGAGTTCGAATTTTGGTGTTTATCGATATTGTCACTAATAAATCTAATTCTCGTTAAAGGAGAAAAAATATATTTCCTCTAAGAAATTAATCTAATAGTATAATTGGAATGATAACTCATATTCAACGAAAAAAAAAGGATGATAACTGATACCACGCGCTGTACAAAACTAAAAATAAAAAAAAACAAAATAAATCATATCCCTGGATCAGAATGTGAACAAACTTATTGGTGGTGACAAAAACTAGATTTTTTTTCCAAGCTAAGTCATCAGTAGCATGTGAATCCACACCCTTCTTCATATATATCCTATTGGTTTAGGTCATGAGTTTCGTTGAGGAGATAAGATGAAGGTCGACGAAATATATAGAATGAAACAAACATCTCAGAGGATGAGATAAGACGTCATCTGGAAACCTCCATCGTATATGTCTTCGTTTTTTCTTGGCTTGAAATGATGATTAATTCTATTGTTCACATATTATCATAAATAAGGCCCAATCGAGCTAATTAATTATAACTCATCATGATCAACTAAACGTCAACTCCTTGACGTGGACTCGCCAACTATATATCTCTCAAGAATAATAATATTAATAATAAACAATACTTCCAAACTATATACATATATCGGTCGACGTACGTACGTATAAGAATATACACTCTTGTATTGAAAACAGAGAGTTGGGTATTTAATTTGGTCATATATATAAATAAATATTACAAGTACTGTAACTTTCACTTCCCATCAGTGTCGCGTCGCCATCCTTAGCCACAATGGAGAGACAAGCAGTCATATTATTAGTTTGGGACAACGAGGATGGCTCCCACGTTGTGTGTATACTCTTAATCATACAACATGAGTACCGTATTCGTAAAGTAAAATAAGAGAAGAATCATACTGTAGATTTTTTTTTGTTGGCTTCTACTAGGCCACTCTCATCTCGTGTCATAGTAATAAACACATGATAATGGCATTAGGGTTTCCAGTGGCCTAGTTCTAGCTTGCTACGATGGAGAAGCTGTGTCCATGAAATAATAATAATAATAATATAATTGGGTTTGGGTTTTGGTTGGCAGAGGTGGCGAAGCTGAATGCGACGGAGTGGTACTTCTTCAGCTTCAGGGACCGCAAGTACGCAACCGGGTTCAGGACGAACCGGGCCACCACGTCGGGCTACTGGAAAGCAACGGGGAAGGACCGGACGGTGGTGGACCCGGCGAGCAAGGAGTTGGTGGGGATGAGGAAGACGCTCGTCTTCTACCGGAACAGAGCACCCAACGGCGTCAAAACCGGCTGGATCATGCACGAGTTCCGCCTCGAGACTCCCCACATGCCCCCCAAGGTTCGTTACGTTATAATATATATTCAGTTTTTTTTTCTTCTTTTTTATAAACCCTACGTACGTAGCTACTAGCTAGCTAGCCCTCTATATAGCTTATTGATCGATAATACGCTAGTTATAACTGGCGAGGTCAAAGTAAATTACTTCTCACGTCTTGTCATCATGTCTATCGCCTAGACATGAATTATTAGATTGATATCTAGTAGATATGTTAAGATCAAGAACCGGTTGGTTCAAGTAACTTAGAAAAGGTTGGGAGAGATACTGACTGGGTGAGATCTTATATAATTATCTTTACGGGCATGTTTTGGTGAGAAGGTATAATATTTATTGCTAGATTCTTCTAACAGCTCGATATATTGATGTCAATTAGTTCATGACATGATATAAAAGCATTTGATCCGGAGATCTCATATCCGAATCTTGATGATCTCCATTAATATTGACTCTTGATTTGAGCTCATATATAATGGACCCACACAAACTCCAAACTCGTGGATTGACATTGATTTAGAGAGTAATACCAGTTACATTTTTTGCAACTCGAATTTTTGAACCAGACTGGTTCTATGACGCGTGACATGTTGCCTGCCAATAATAATAAAATAAGTCATATACTAGTAGGTTTTAACTATTTATTTATATATGAAGGTGATATATGTTATGTTTTTTTAAGTTAGATGCTATTCAAGTATTCGAACCTGAAACTTGCAAGTCAAAGATCAATGATATAAACTGGAGAAAATCCTTGTTTCGCTAGGTGGTTTAACTTTTAGAAGCTATCCCTTAATTAGCTAGGCGGAAGAGCTAAAAATTGATTGTTGCACATACAAATTATTGCTCAAAAAATATTGATTAGTTCCGTTGGCTGGCCAAATGATATGATGACACAGGAGGACTGGGTGTTATGTCGAGTGTTCCACAAGAGCAAGGCATCAGAAGACTACAACGAATCCAGCCCACCTAATTACCACCACGTTCCCGATACCACACCTAACCAAGGCGCCGCCCCAATCTGTTTAGACGACACTTCTCCTCCTTTACTAACTCCTCCTCACCACCACCACCACCACCACGGCGGCGCCGGCCACATCTCCACCCAGCTGCCCACCGCCGATACCGGCAGATATCATCATCATCATCATCATCAAGTCACATCACTCTCGTCAAGCACCACCACGGCCGCCCCACACCATCATCCGAGCTCCGATGTACAAGCTCCGATGGCCGCGGCAGGATCACTGTTGAATCTCCTGCAAGACAGAACAACAAAGCTCGCCAACCCTAACCAGCTGCAGAACAATCAAAGTGAGATCAGCTCCAAGCCTAGCAGCATCGAGGACCAGTTTGGTTTCTTGTGGGATGTTGATATGAACTTGGAGGAGACTTGCAGCTTGGGAGATGGTGGTGGTGGAGTGGTCTCCGATTTGGATCATGACTTGAGATTTGAGATTGATAACAACATGGTTTTCCTATGAGGGTTGTGAAAGCCATGAACCCTAATACCAAAAAAAAAAAAAAAAAAACAACAAGACAAAGTGGAGGCGAAAAGGAGGAAACATGGTTTTGGTTCACGACTACATTATAGAAATGCATGCATACTCGATATATACATCTTAGCCACTTCCCAAAATTTGTTGATTTGTGATTATTATTGTAATTGTGGTGATGATTGATTAAGTTTGGAGTCGAGGGGAAAGAAAAGAAAAGAACAAAAAAAAAGAAATAATGGGGAAAAAGGGATATGGTTGTGGATGGTAGGTGTTGTTATATAGATATATTTGTATATTTATGGTTTAGGGTTTCAATTATTATATTGTTATTATTGGTGTAATTTCTTTTTGTGTATGATTAGGTATAGTAGGATGGATTCTGTACAAAATTATAATATATTAATACGATTATTTGTCAGACTATGGAATTATTCTGTATGTATGTTAGTACTGTCGAAAATTCCAAATTCCATTATTTTTTCCTGCTAAAGCTAGCTCTTTTCTTGGTGGAAGCCATTAATTTGAGTTGGAAGCGGATTCCTAAATAATTTCAGAAGTTGGGAATACATGCTATGTCTAAAGATGTAAAAGACATTATGAGAAAGATACTTAAAAATGTGCACAAATAAAATTAAAGTGAAATATAATTAATCAAATGGAAAAATTGAAGTGGAAATTTTCCTGGCAGGAGCTCACACTCCACCAATCCAATGATAAAGGAATATATACGCGGTTTCTACGGTGAACTCATAAATATTTTAAATGCATATCGAGTCTTAATATGCAACCGCTGGTATTTAGATGATATAATCACATACATTTCCTATCAACTTTTTCATATATGGTCATTATATGTACTTATGAAAGTGCTCGTAGTAAATTCTAGAAATACAGAAATTATAACTAAATCATAATTGATTTGTTGCACAAGTTAATATGTTGTCTAAAACATTAGTAAATTCTAGAAATACAGAAATTATAACTAAACATAATTGATCTGGTGCAAGTGTGGCCAGTAGCGAATTGATTTCGAGTCCGTGATTTCAAGTGATGTTTGCAAGCTAAGTCATTTGTATTCTTGAACCAAATGTCTTTCAAGTTAAAAATATGAGAAATATCTCGTAAAATAATGAGAAATAATTGCAATTCCTCTAGGTTCTTTACACTTAATACTCGTTATACCAAATAGATGAAATTCTCATAACATTACTTAGCAATTTCAGAAGACAACCGTGTAGCAGCAGCAACATAACACCATTAACAGCTGCTTCACCATTAATCTTAATTTCCTGAAATGGCAGATCAGAAAATCCATCATGATCCACGAATAGAGCTGAAGAAATGAAGAAGGGTGCTTTATTCTTCATAACCGTAAATCCAAAGGCAAATGAAACCACAAACCTCCATAATCTCAAAAGAAGAAAAACACGAGTTTATCTTGTAATCCATGTTTAATACATTTTTCTACTAACGTTAAAAGTTTGGGTGTGCCTACGGTGACATGCATGTCATGGTGACTTGCACTTTCCGGTCGACCTCAGTTAGGATTAGGTCGACCTCATTTAGAATTCGGTCGACCTCATATAGGTTCTGGTCGACCTCATTTAGGATTCGGTCGACCTCATATAGGATCAGGTCGACCTAATATGTTGTTTCAGTGTAAAACAGTTCATAGTGCCTACTTTGGATATTCATATCATACAATTGGCTATATGGAAATTGAAGACTAATGACTTGTTTTGAAGCTGGAGTGTCCCTTTACATATTGAAGTGATTGAGAGCTCGATAGGAAGTCTAGAAGACCATTTTTGACCCTCATCAAAAGGCAATGCCAAAACTAGGAAAACTGTCTGGAAATGGCTAAGTCTGGGAACGTGTTTGTGAAGCCTATTTTGGAGCTCAATTCGAGAAGCATGAATGCGAGTCGAGTCCAGGAGCCTCTACCACGTTAAATTAGGTATGTTTTTATACAAATTCAAGGCATTGGATGAAAGATTAGATATCTGTAAGGCTTCAAACAAAATGGTCGAAGTTGCTACGAAGGCTGTTTTTCTGGCAGACTTCGAGCACAAGCAAGCGGCCAGAAAAACAGCCATCGTAGCAACTTCGAGCCTTTTGTTTGAAACCTCAAATATATTCAATCTTTCATCAAATGCCTTGCCTTTGTATAAAAAAATACGTTATTTAACGTGGTAGAGGCCCCTGGACTTGACTCACATCCATGCTTCTCAAATTGAGCTCCAAAGTAGGCTTGACAAACACGTTGCCAGACTTAGCCATTTTCAGGCAGTTTCCCAGTTTTGGCATAGACTTTTGGCCAGGTTCAAAAATGGTCTTCTGGACTTTCTATTGAGCTCTCAAGTACTTTAATGTGTAGAGGGACACTTCATCTTCAAAACAAGCCTTCAATCTCCAATTTCCATCTAGCCAATTGTAAGATATGAATCTCCAAAGTAGGCACCATGAAACTGTTTTTACACTGAAACAACAGATTAGGTCGACCGGATCCTATATGAGGTCGACCGAAAAGTGCATGTCACCGTGACATGCATGTCACCGTAGCAAAGTCCTAAAAGTTTACATCACTACCTCAAATGATATCATTACAATGCTCTAACCCAACACTGGCCGTTCTGCTTCTTTTCGCTTGCCCTTGTGCATCTCCAACAGTTTAACTCAACATCACCTGTTGAAGTGGTAGAAATTGGGGTGCTCAATTAGTACGATATTGTTCGCTTTGTGCGATGTGCGCACGGTTTTACTCTTAGGTATCCTCCTCAAAATGCCACGTACTAATTGGGGTGCTCAATTAGTACGATATTGTCCGCTTTGTGCCAAGTGCGCACGGTTTTACTCTTAGGTATCCTCCCCAAAATGCCACGTACTAATTGGGCTAGGTGGACACTTATATACAAGGGTTTCTTCCCTTATATTACCGATGTGGTACTTGGATTGTCCCATAACAATCCTTCCCTCAAGACAAGGACTACGAACTTCGTGTCATTTCCTCAACAATTATATCCACTAAACAGACACCGTCCTGGATCTGACGAACCAGGCTCTGATACCACTTGTCATAACTGAGCAGGTCAATTAGTACGATATTGTCCGCTTTGGGCCGAGCCCGCACGGTTTACTATCGGCGGGGTCCTCCCCAAAAGGTCTTGTGCTAATTGTACTAAATGGATACTAATATACAAGGGTCTCTTCCCTTGTATTACCGATGTGGTATTTGGATTATCCCATAACAGAACCATTATTCAAATCCATGAGTGGTGAACAAATTCAATACTGATTTTGCGCATACAACATACGAGTGAAAACAAAAGTTTGTACCATCTTTCAACGCTGAAAATGAGACGAAAGTCACAAACATGCAATCCTCATTCACCTCTTTGAATTGGTTAAAGTTTCTCATTCTCGTGAAAGATAGTGATTGTTCGATCGATCTCTTGCATCAAGAGCTGGTTGCTTTCCATGAACCCACTGTACGTAGAAACTTATAACTTGAAGATACATAGATACATTTTAAGTCATCACAAACCTATAAAGCATAATTGCTTGTACCGAAAAGGAATTTACGGGTCACACATTGCAAAAATCTCGAATCAAATATACAAAATCAATGGCAAGAAGAGCAATCAAGGCCTCGGCAAACAAACCATGTGAAATCCCTTAGATAAAAGTACCCTACACACCATATCAGATGCGAGTTTATTTAAGAATTTGGGTATGAACAAAAAAATGAGTATTGCTGTAAATGGAACATTCTTCTCTTCATCTTCTTCTAATTTCATGGCAAATTTATGCCAATTTACATAGTACTAAGCTACCACATATTGTAGTCTAACACAATATGTAGAGCAAACCCCATTCTATTATGTTATTTCAATACTGCTTTTCTTCCTCCGTATAAAGTTTGACCATTTATGTATATTACGTGGTCATATATAATCACCAAGCAAAGTTTTCTGCGATAATATTTTGGGAGGGAAGCTCAGATCGGTATCTTTTTTTTTTGACAACAATCATCATTTCATTCCAAACCCACACAAATGGGAAGCCATACAATTACAATAATGGAGCGACAAGGTCAGCAATGACAGTCCATTCAGGAGGAAGTTGATCAAGACGAGCGTTTCTCGCAATCCAATCCGCAAAGGCATTGAATCGGCGGGGAACAAACTCAACCACGATCCAAGGAGAGGTACAGAGAATAGAAACAATCCGGGCAATAGTTGCCCGGCATTGCCACGGCCAAAGGCTCGGATCCTGTTTCAACGCGATCGTCAATCTCTGGCAGTCAGAGCGGACACACGTTGGGACTGGATCCAAGGCTGCCAAGATAACTGCATTAAGAATCGCAACAGCTTCCGCTTGTATCGGCGAAGAACAAAAGAATCTCTCAGCTTTCCCGTCAATCACCTGACCGTGGGAATTAGCAATAGCAATCCCATAAGCCGCCACCTGTGCATCAGAGACAAAGGAACCATCACAATGCACAACCTTACTATAAGGACCAGGCGGTGATAAGGTCGTCGAACGAGAACTCCCAAGCTGAGGAGGCAAACCGACTGATCTGGAAGAAGAGGAAACCGTGCCCGTAGTCCACGCTTCCTTAACCTTTTGAGATTCTCTATCAGCAAGGATTGCCACAGTAGGCGGGGAGAACACCTTTCCTTCAAACACCATTCCATTACGGGCAATCCAGATATTCCACATCGTACACACAATCTTGCAAATCTGGTCAGAAGATGACCGATCCCTGAGAGAAAAGAACCACTCAGCAAACCTGGTTTCCGTAGGAGGGACATACTCCCCCAAACCAATCCGAGTCCAAGTCTCACTAGTCTTGGAGCAGTAGAATAAGCAGTGCATAACAGTCTCAGCATTCTCTTCACACAGCGGACACAGAGTAGAGGGAGCACACTTGCGTTCAAACAACCTTGCCCGTGTTGCAATTGCATTCTTACCACACTTCCACACAAAAAACCGGAGCTTAGGGGGCAACTTGAGGTCCCAAAGCCACTTCCAATCATCCTTGTTGGGTCTAATAGATGGGGACTCCTCACTTGAAGGGGAAGAGTCTCTCGTCTCACGAAACACACGGTAGGCAGACTTCACACTATAGCCACCGGAGTCCGTAAACTTCCAAATCCACCAATCATGTGAGGAGCACGGACCAATTGGAACTCGAGCAATAGCTTGGGCAATCTCATCAGGCACAAGATCCCTGATCGCATTCATGTTCCAGCAGCGATTACTTTGATCAATCCAATCACTAACCCGTGACGGTTCCAACTCCAGATGCGCTAAGCTGAAATTTTGAATGGAAGGCACCCAAGGGTCACAATGGAACAAAGAATCCTCTCCTGACATAATTCCTTTCAAAAGACCCACCTTCATATGCTCCTTGGCTTCACACAAACCA